ACTCCAGCGTTGTGGGGAGTGATGCACCATGCTCCTCAAATAATCCTCTAAGCAACGGTTGAGTCTCTCTGTTTGACCATCTGTTTGGGGGTACCTGTCGAGAAATGGAGATCCACCCTTTGCAACTCGAACAACTTGGTCCAGAAGGAACTAGTAAACACAACATCTCGATCTGACACTATGGTCTGAGGCATCCCATGAAGCTTAAAGATCCCCTCAAAGAAGACTTGTGCTACACTGCTGGCTGTATATGGTCTAGTCAGACTGAAGAAGTGTCCATACTTTGAAAACCTATCCACCACCACAAACACTACTTCCTTCCCTGCAGACTTAGGAAATCCATCGATAAAGTCCATTGAAACATGCTGCCCAGCTCTCTCTAGAATTGGCAAAGGCTGCAGTAGGCCAGGATAGGGAACATTCTCTGTCTTGCATCTTTGGCACACATCACACACTCGCACAAACTCTTTAACCTGCAGCTTAAGAGCAGGCCACCAAAAATAACGCTTCAATCTCAAATAAGTGGCATGCACCCCTGAGTGACCCCCAATTGGAGAATCATGAAACAACTTCAACAATTTCACTCTCATATCCCCCATAGACCCAACATACAAAGCTTCCTTGTGATAGAGTAATCCTTGCTTCACTGACTTAAACCGAGGGCTAACAAAAGGGATAGTTGCTTCCAACATCAGGGTCTGAACCTCTGTATCTCCAACATAAGTCAGCTCCAATTCACTCAACCAGGCTGGTAGCACAGCAGAGATGGCTTGACACTCAGCCTTGGCTTCCCCCACTCCTTGAAACTGAGGATGCCTAGAAAAAGCATCTGCCACCCTATTGAATCTGCCCTGTCTGTATTTAATCTCAAAATCCAGGCCAAGCAATTTAACAAGACCCTTCTTCTGAATGTGAGTGTGAATTTTCTGGCCAAGGAGGTGTTTAAGACTCTCGTGGTCAGTAAGAATGGTAAAAGTCCTACCGTCCACATAATGGCGCCATTTGGTGACAGCCAAGAACCCTGCTAGATACTCTTTCTCATAGGCTGATAACCCCTGCTGGTGGATTCCCAATGCTTGACTATGGTAAGCAATAGGTCTGCCACCCTGAGACAGGACAACACCAATACCGACATCACTAGCATCCGTTTCCAGCTGAAATGGAAGGGAAAAATCAGGCAATGTGGGGACAGGGACTTGGGACATAGCTACTTTGAGCATGTTGAAAGCTCTATCATCAGTAGCAGACCAAAGAAAACTGTCCTTCTTAAGCAATTCAGTGAGAGGCCTACTGATTGCTCCATAATTATGCACAAACTTTCTGTAGTAGCCAGTTAGGCCGAGGAACCCACTTAACTCCTTGACATTCTTGGGACAGGCCACTTGACCATAACCTCCACCTTACTAGGATCAGTAGCCACGCCCTGTTCATTGATGACGTAACCCAAGTAATCCACCTCTCTTTGAGCAAAAGAACACTTGGATGGTTTGGCAAACAAGGAATGTTGGCGAACTATTTGAAGGGTTTGGGACAAATGCTGGCAATGGGAAGTTTGGTCAGGGCTGTATACAAGGATGTCATCGAAGAAAACGAGGATGAATTTACGAAGATAGGGATCAAAAATCTGGCTCATAAGGGCTTGGAACGTGGCTGGGGCACTGGTCAACCCAAAGGGCATGACTTTGAACTCGAAGTGGCCATGGTGGGTACGAAATGCGGTTTTATACTGGTCATTTGGGTGCATTCTGACCTGATGGTAGCCAGAAAGAAGGTCAAGTTTGGTAAAAAATTTGGCCCCACCCAACTCATCTAGCAAATCATCTATAACTGGGATTGGAAATTTGTTCTTAATAGTGATAGAATTTAGCTGGCGGTAATCAATAAAAAATGCCAGGAACCATCTTTTTTAAGTATTAAGAGGACAGGGGAAGCAAATGGGCTTTGGCTAGGTTGAATGAAATCAGCTATCATCATCTCATCACACAATTTCTCTACTTCTACTTTCTGGGGAAGAGGGTAACGCTAAGGTATGAGGTTAACAAGGGAGGATCCATGCTGTAAAGGAATGGTATGGTCACAATCACGTGAAGGGGGAAGGGAGGTAGGTTTTCCAAAGACATCTTTGTATTCGTCAAGGATAGGTTGGACAAAAGAGGGTGGAGTAGTACCTGAAGGTGTGGCAGTGGTCATGGAGAAAATGTGGCCTGTCCAAGATGCACCTTTCTTCTTAAAATACTTCTGCAGACTTTTCCCCGACATGGTTTGACATTTTCTAGCCTACTGAACCGCATACAGCTCAACCTCAACTCCATCCATATCAAATACCAGTTGCAGGTTCACAAAATCGAACTTGACTGGACTAATGGTGCGCAACCAATCCAGTCCCAATACCAAATCATTGGATCCTAACTGCAGAATTCTAACATCGAACTGGAATTGAAACTCCTGCATCGTCCAAGTGAAATCTTTGCAAACTGAATTACTCATCAACACAGTCTCATCGGCCAATTTAACCCGCAAGGGAGCCGCTCCTTGCAATGTACACCCTAACTCTGCTGCCTTGTGAGCATTGAGGAAGGTGTGGGTGCTTCCAATGTCCACCAAAACTAGCAAGGACGCCTTCTTCACTTTACCCTTGATGACCAAAGAGTTGGCAGAAATGCAACTGCTGAGTGCTTGCATAGTGACTTCAATCAACCCTTCATCTTGATGGGCCATGTGTTCCACAATATCCTCAAAAATACTGTCGTCTTCATCACTCCAAGGCTTAGGTTCCACAATGTCACTTTCTGTAGCCTGCAAGGCATTCAATTGTCGCTTGGCCTCACATACATGGCCATAAAAGTAACGATCCCCACACTTGTAGCAAGCCCCCTTGGTCATCGCTCATTTGTTACCATTACTGTTGGCAGGTGGGATGGACTTGGTCGGGGTGGGTTTGGAAGGCTCCCATTTCTTACCATTAGAGCCCAAGGAAGAAGCACCAGGGGTGAAACCTCCAGTTGGACGAGGCAGGGGCCCCCTGAGTTTCTTTCGATGAGCTTCGTTAGAAACTTCTTCCAATCGAGAGAGCTGAAAAGCATGAGCCAAGGATCGTGGTTGCCACATGGACATCACAGGACGCAATTCTTCCTCTAAACCACTAATGTAGCTCGAAATGAAATATTCTTCCGTCAAGGCTGGATTGTAGCGGATCATCTGCGACTTAAGTTCTTCAAAACGCTCCTGATAATCAAGCAAGGAACCATGTTGACGAAGCTTGTTAAACTCGCCAAAAATACCTCCCAGGCAATGCTGTCAAAATCGCGCTTTAAAGCGTAAAATCGTACGTTTTTACCTTTTCAACCCACAAATACGCTTTAGTTTCTACGTGAAGTCGCATTATATATAAAATCGAACAAAAAACGGTTGTAAAATCAGTAAAATCGTAAAACAACGTTAAAATCGCGTTTCTAGACCGATTTTATACGTTTTTTAGTGCAGTCCGGAAATGGCCAAAGTGAGCCAAAGCGGCGCCATTTTAAAGGGTTTTAATTAAAAAAAAAGGGCTAATACCACTACAACACCCGAACTATCCCGAAAATGCCACTTGTGTCCTATTGTTTCCAATATTCCATCTCTGTCCTGAACTATTATACTTTGTGCCATTTGTGTCCTGCCGATTTTGTTGACCGTTAAAGATAACGGTTGACCAAACGGTGGTCAAAGCAAAGTTGACTTTTATTGACTTGGCAAAATGTGGCTGCCACATAGATGCCACGTCATTGAACCCTCATATATTTTAATTAAAATTAAAAAAATGTAAATTTAATAATATTATTGAGCCAAAATTTTAAAACAAAAAAACTCTTCGTATTCTTCTTCTTGGTGCAAATCCACCATGTTTCTGGGTTCGGGAAGCAGAACGAAGGGTTAGGAGGTGGTGGCGGCCATGATCGACGGTGGCTGGGCAGAGAGACTAACGCGGAAAATTAGATCTAGCAACCCCTTTTCACTCTCTCATCTATTCCAACTCCTCTCACTATCTCGCCTCCTAATTTATGGTTCCAATCAAAAGTAGCAACCCAATCAGAGTAGTGAATCAAAGCATCAACAACAAGACCCACATGAATCGGAACAGCGAATTCACAAGCACCATTTAAAGATTTTGATGATGAATATGGAGAAGGATGGGCGTAGGCGGCTGCTAATCCGACTGGATCTGTACTCTCTCCCTCCCGACCGACTCGATGAATAAAGAGAAAGGAAGAAGGTGGAGCTAGTCTTCCAGAAGCAGGGGAGCTGGTCTTCGACCACGGCCACGGCGGAGGAAGCAGGGGAGTTGATCTTCTGGACTTTTCCCCTTCATCGTCGATTCATGCATTCAACCAGAAAAATTCCTTCCCGAATCGCTTGAATTGACCAAGCAATTGGAATCCCTCAGCGGCAAAGGACGGCAGTGGTGCCGAGGTTGAGGATGATGAAGAATCTGGATACTCGTTAAAACCTAATCCCGCCGCAGATTATGAAGAATCTGATGGTGGAAGCGGCGCGGTGTTGAGAGAGTGAAACGAAGAGATCGAGAAGGAGATCTCGGTGCGGCATTGTTGATAGAGTGAAACGAGGGGATCAGTGAGAAGAGCTCATGGCCGCGTATGGAGGCGAGGAGCCGATGGCGGCTGAATTTGGGGGAAGTGAAACGAAGGGGAGATGAAGTTTTTTATTTTTATTGTTAGTGTTTTATAATTATGTTTTAGTAAGATTGTTTAATTTTATATTTGGCAAGAAAAAAAGATTGTTTAATTTTATTGTTTTTTATTTTTTATTTTTTTGTTAAATGAATTAAAATTCCACGTAAGATGCCACATCAGTGCTGACTAGATTTTCTGTTAAAAACTAACGGTCAACAAAAGTCAACACTAACGGAATCATAGTTCAGGACACAAATGGAATATTGGAAACAATAGGACACAAGTGGCATTTTCGCGATAGTTCGGGTGTTGTAGTGGGCGAACATCAGCATGCAAGGGATCCATTTTACCCTAAATCGTATTCTCTTCTCCAACTCCACAAACGCGCAGCGCCGTCCTCCTTCAACCTCCGCGCTCCGCCGTCCTCCTTCAACCTCCGCGCCGCCGCCGTCGTTCCCGTTCAACCTCCGCGACGCCGTCGTTCGCCTTCAACTTCGCGGGCGGTGTCGTCCTCCTTCAGTCCTTCCCCAGTTCCCCTTCAACTCCGAGACGCCGACCTCCATCTGGCTGCTTCAAGAACCGTCGCCGTCCTCCAGCGCTGGCTAAGTGACAGTTCCTCTCCGTCAGCTCCTCGTAGAGATTTTTGATCCGTAGCCGGTAGCTCCATTTCCTCCGTCAGCACAAATCTTTTATTTCTTGGAAGTTGATGAAGTTCCTTTCGGAGAAACTGATGGCAGAAGTTGACGCCTTCTTTCTGCAATTCATTTGAATTGTCTTCCATACTGTATATAAAGGAAATCACCCTAAATCATCTTCATCACACTTGAGATTCAGAAATTTTGTTACTTATAGTTATAACTTATTGGCCACTAATTCAGGGTTTTGTCATTTGTGTTTGTAGAATCCAAACGAACGCCCCCTAATTGCTAAGAGTGCCCTTGAGAATACAGTAATTTTGGTTGATAAAGAGAAGGCCATTTTTCTGCCTCATTGTTGTGTACACGATCTGCCTGGAAATCGAACATTAGGTATAGGCAAATATCACAAGTGGGTTTGCATGTTGGTAGCTAAATAACACAAGAATTGGAAATTTGTTATTGAACTTCTGTTTTCTTTTTGCAGATTTGTACTAATGTCGAGTGGTGGTGCCGGTACTAGTGCAAGTAATTTTGTGATAAATAGTAAATCAAAGAGGAAAAATGCACTGGGAAATCGTAATGATCCCGGTTGGCAGCATGGTGTAGATGTACTTGGCACTGGGCAGAAAGTGAGGTGCAATTACTGTGACAAGGAAGTATGTGGTATTTCCCGATTCAAGCATCATCTTGCAGGAACAAGAAAGGATTATGTGGCTTGTGTTAGTGTTCCAGATGAAGTGAGGGCAAAAATGCTAGAGCTACTCCATCTGAATGAAGAAGGGAGGGAGGCTAAGACAAGGAAGCTGCATGATCTTGGTCTTGGTGGGAATGTAGATGATAGTGATGTTCCAAATCGAGATTCAGTTCATTCAAATGTGGCTAGAGGCAGTGGCAGTAGTAAACAAAAAACAATAAGTGCACTTTTGAAGAAAGATCTCCGAGAAAAGGCTTGCAAGACAATATCACAATGGTGATATGAAAATGCACTTGCATTCAATGCAACTAGAAGTTCCAAATATAACCAGATGTGGGAAGATGTAGCTCGACATGGTCCTGGTTTTAAACCTCCTTCATATCATGAGATTAGGGAGACTTATCTGAAAGAAGAATTGAAGGAAGTGGAGAGTAAATTGGAGGTGTTTAAATCTGAATGGAAGGCGGTGGGTTGCACTATAATGTCTGATGGATGGACAGATAAGAAAAGAAGAGTTGTTGTAACTTTTTGGTTAATAGTCCTCGTGGAACTGTATTTCTTGAGGCTGTTGACACTTCTTAGATTTCAAAGACTGCTGAGATGGTGTTTGAGATGTTGGATAAAGTTGTTGAGAAGGTTGGAGAAGAGAATGTTATTCAAATTGTGACAGATAATGCTTCAGCTTATAAGGCGGCATGACAAATGTTGATGGAGAAGAGGAAGCATTTGTTTTGGACACCATGTGCAGCCCATTGCTTGGATTTGATGTTGGATGATTTTGAGAAGAATATTAAGGTGCACAAGACTACAATTGGGAAGGGTAAAAAGATCACAAAATTTATTTATGTCAGAACAATGTTGATTGCCATGATGGAGGGTTCACTGAAGGGAAAGATTTGGTTAGACCTGCAATTACTAGATTCGCTACATCATATTTGACCTTGGCATCTCTCCATGACAACAAAGGTTCCTTGATGAGAATGTTCTCTTCTGACAAGTGGAGGAAGAGCGGCTTTGCTAAGCTTCGGGAAGGGAAAAGAGTTCAAGCGATAGTACTTGATGGCAGATTTTGGCAAGATGTGTCAATTTGCCTTAGAGCTTCTCAACCTCTAGTCAAGGTTCTACGCTTGGTTGATTCTGATGAAAAACCACCAATGCCTTTCTTATACTTTGAGATGATCCAAGCAAAGAAGAAGATTAAGAGCAACTTCAACAATGTGGAAAAAAGGTAATTTTTCAAACTTAGTATTCTTATTATATTATGAAACAAATCTCTATGTTTTTTATTATTTTAAGTTGTGAATTTATTGTCTTTTATGTAGATATAAACCTATCTTGAAGATAATTGACAAAAGGTGGGAAGATCAAATGAGTAGGCCCTTTCACTATGCTTCATATTGGTTGAATCCCCAAATTCACCATTCTCATGGTATGAGATTTAACTATAATGATCCAAAGGTGAAAATAGCTTTGTATGAATGTGTGACTAGAGTTGCAAAGGATGATGAAGAGAAGTTTAAGATTATGGAACAATTGCATGTATTTCATCATGCTCAAGGCATGTTTGACAAATATGGTGCAATGACCTTAAAGGATAGGCATCATCCTGCTGATTGGTGGACTTCATTTGGAGATGAAGTGCCAAAGCTTCAAAAATTTGCCATCCGATTGTTGAGTTTGACTTGTAGTGCTTCTGGGTGTGAGCGCAATTGGAGTGCATTTGAGAGGGTAAGTAACAAATTGCCTCTACTTTCTTTAAATGATATCAATTATCATGTTTGTTGGTTGTAAGTTTACAAGTTTGGTTTGTTTGTCATTCATTATTTTTACATGTTAACTTTTTTTTTAGATTCATACCAAGAAAAAGAACAGCCTTCAAACACAAAAGATGAATGATCTTGTGTATGTCATGTGCAACAACAAGTTGGTGGGAAGTAATGTCAAGAAGGCAAGAAGGCTTGAAATTGTTTTTGAGGATATAGACTCCGAGAATGAATGGATTTGTGGTAGTGACACTGAAGAAGAAACATCACAAGCTGAAGCTTTAGGAGTTGATGGTGGTGAGGAAGGTCATCATGCTGTTGAAATTGGTCCTACTATTTCTATTGGTGAGGATGGAGGTGATGATGCTATTCATGTTGATGGTCATGGTGGTGATGCTGTTCGTGTTGATGGTGACCGTGGATTTGATAATCCACTTGATGATGGAGATGACAATGATGATAATGATGAATTGGATGCCAATGTTGAAGGCGATGATGTATGTTTATCAACTTATGTTTAAGATGATATCAATCATGATTTATTGCAGGTAGTTATTCACTTCTATATAATTTATACACTAACATTTTATACAACACATGTCGTACTTAGCAAATTTATAGCTATTTTACAGGATGCCACAAAAACTTACGCTTTACGATTTTACCCCTTTTCCGCTTCTAGGTAAAATCACGCTTTTGACTGCATTGCTCCCAGGGACCAATCACTAAACCGATTGCACAGAGCAGACACAAACTCCTCCCAAACTAACTCCACACGGCTAGTCTTCCATCCTTCGAACCAAATATCCGGACGATGATCAAAGTAAATCGAAGCGAGTTCAACTTTCTGATCCGCAGGAATTACATAAATCGCAAATAGCTTTTTGCACTTGCGAGTCCATTCTCGAGGATTATCCCCGTTGAAGGACGGGAAATCCAGACGCGGTAAGGGAAACAGATTGTTACCGAAATGAGGCGGAGGAACTCGCTGATGCAGGTGTGGAATTTGATCAGCAACCCGATTCACTTGCGCCTGAGCTCGTTGCATCCCTGCGTCTGGCTCCAGTGGTCGGCGCGCCTGTGGAAATATAGGCTGAGGTAAAATGCCGCGGTCGTCGTTCTGAGCAACCAGCGGAGCATCTGCCTTGGCAACGACTACCTGTGGCCGCTGGTGACCTAATTCTGCAAGACGACGAAGAACTTTGGCGAAGCGGCCGTCCAATCCATTAATCCGAGTGTTAAGCGTGGCCATCTGCAGCGACTGATCGACGGCCTTCGTGGACAAGTCGTGGAGCTATCCGACATGTGCGCGAAACTGCTCGCCCGTCGTCGTCATCTGCTCATCCGTGGCGTGCAAATGATCGTCGATCTGTTGAATCTGAGTTTCGAGGGCGATGGTGCGGTTGGTGAACGTTGCGAGCTTCTCCTCCATTCTCGTCGTCGCCATCCGGTCGAGCGAAGGCTCTGATACCAAGTTGTCACAACTGGGATGGAGAGTCTCGAGAACTCAACGAGATAGCAATGGCGACCTTCTTTCCAGTGGAGTATTTGGAGACGTTGGGCTGGAGGGAAAGGTTGTTACACAGTTAATTGGTAAAGTAGGAGAGAGAGAAAGAAGAGAGAGATAGGAAGAAAGAGGAGAGGAGATTATATTATTTCCAACGTTAACTGAACTAGTGGGTCCAGTTCTGCTTATACGATCCGTTTTGCCATATTACACCAACACTCCAGCTTGTCACTCTTATCCTCATTCTTTTATTTATTTACAATTTAGTCCCATCTGTTACAGGTTTCCTTCCCTTTTCTGCTCTAGATCCTCGGAGCTCACCCACAAGGGCAAAATACATTCGCTCTCTACTTCCTCTAATCACCCCCTCCTTTCCCCATCTAAATCCCGTCTTCGTTCCTCTCTCCGCCGAATCCTAGATCCCAATATTCCCTCGCTAAACAAATTCCAAATCGGCCGCGCTCATCTCTGTTCTCCGCCCACACCCTAACGTTGATTGTTTCACCACTTCCAGGCTTCGCTCCGCATGCTGAGTGATACTACTCACCGTCGTCGGCACACCTCCACCTCATCACCCATTGTCCCTGCTCCCGCCTCACCGCAATGGTTGTCACACAACTCCTCCTCGTCGATGTAGTGAGAGAGGTGGGAAGAAGAGTGGAGATTCACTAAGAGGAGTGGAGAGCGCCATCGACGCAGAGGAAGCTAGGCTGGAAATCTAGAATTAGGGAGGTGAGAGGAAGAGTTCGGAATAGCAGTTGTGGCTTCTTGGTATGGGAAAGGTGAGGGAAGAAAGAATGGAATTCTTCTGAAAGTGTTCGTAGGGTGGGTGAAGTAAGGGGAGAAGCAGAGGGATTTGTGTGAAAATGGGGAGAATAACTAAGCAGGGTGGCGTACAAGTGTACAACATGGAGGAGAAGCAGAGGAAGGAGAGAAGAAGAGAAGTTTGCGTATGGAGAAGTTAAAGTGGATTGAGAGTTTTGCAGAGGAGTGGACTACTTTCC